CCCTGTGAGCCGCTGAACAACCCCCTGTAACCACGAAAGACGCACTCCCAGCAACCCCCCTACCATGAGGTCAAAATTGTAATTACTGGTTTGTCATCACATCTGCTCACCCACAAAGCTCCTTCCAAAGCTCGACTGACTGGGAAGAGGCTTCTTGCATTGCAAGGTTATATATGAATGGTTCACATGATTCACACGCAACTCCGGCAGCAGCAAGTGCAAGAAGATTGAGGGCGTACTCGCACTTTCGAGGACGTATCTGGCTGGAGAATGCAACCAGCTTCTCTTGAGAAGTCCTAATGTGAGTGTGTCTGTATAAAGTACGCCCTGCCACTCCACCCACTTCTTTCACTCAGCCCCTGTTCTGGTAGGGATTTTCAACAGCTTTGCATAACCCACGGGTTCACGAAACCCCTACCAGACAATTCGAATGCGAAAGGGACTGGGCATCTTTTAGCAGGCACCCAACCACTTACCCTCTAATTCCCCCCCCATTCCCCCCACCCCCCCCACCCCTCTCGCCCAACCGGCCTGCTCTTTTTGTTCTCTTCTTCTCCATTGCCAGCAATCTGCTAGCCACCAAGCAAGCATAATTCACATTCTTGGGTGATATACAAAAAGAGGCAAACGCAAATAGAGGTCAGGCCGCAGTTGCAAAACTGTGTGCTTACACGGCATTCACCTGGATCTCTTTTCGACCAGGTAAACACTAGTAAAGACACAATCCTGCAAGGTGAGCAGCGGCCGCCTCCTCCTAAGGACTGCCAGTTTCTGATGCAGTTCACACCACTATCAAGATCGCACCATCGCCATTCTCTTCTTCATCCGTGCTGGCAATCTTATCCACATCGCCCGAACCTAAATAAGCAAGATCGCACGAGCCACTTGGCAAACGGGGGGTCAGAAATTCCTTAGAAAAATCAAATAATATCAATTTCGCACCATCGATGTCAGGAAAGCCATGCAGAATTGCAGATCACAAAAACCAAAAACTTCAGGGGAAGTGAGGCTGTAAGAGCTGTACCTGCCTGCTCGGCTAAATTGCACAAAACCGTATAGCGGCAGCAGACTTGCCAGGTCCACTGCCTGCAGCCCACACATTCCATCGTCGTCCATCCCAGCACTTGCTATTTACTTCAGACTCTTCAGAGGGGGGGAAGCACTTGCTATTTACTTTAGAGGGGGAGGGAAAGGAAACAAAGAGGTTGAAATGGAAAAAGTCTTTGAACGGGGCAACAAAATCCTGAAAAAAAGAAGAAACAGTTTAATCACACACACACAGTGTTGCACACGCCGACGGTCGGCGGCCCTTGACTGGTCGGCTGCCGGCCCGCCGACCGGTCGGCTCATCGGCACCTACCGGTCGGGGGTCGTCGGCACCCCACAATTTTATTTTATTTTTTTTTTTTTTTTTTTCTTGGGGTCCAGAACCCCTAATAACGCCACCAACCCCCCCATAGCGGGCCCCAATCCGCCCAT